CCAGAAAATGACCTGAGGTGGTGCAGAGTAACCTCCAGTCCCGGTCCTACCCCTCCTGGCTGTTGTAAAAATTAACCCTGTCCTGGCTGAAACCAGGACAGAGTACATATTTATTTACCAAAGGAGGTGATGGAATATTTCACAGGACAACTTCAAGGCTTAGATGGTGTTATATCTCCATGTGTTTTATGGGAAATTTCATGTTGTAAGAAGCATATTGCCTCCTGTACAAATGTGAAATTGTGTTGTAAATGAAATCTCTTAATTACTGCTCAGCTTTGCTAAGCATTTTACTTTAGTCAGCAACTGCCTTGCTGAAAAGTACCATAGTTTTGAAGCAGGAATTTAGGACTGAAGATTTACAACCAATTTCTTTCTTCCTCATCGTTACAAGAATAGTGGCTTAGTAGTCAGGAAGAAGAGCATTCTGGTTTTATAAATAGTATTCAAGTTTTCCTGTATTAGTAGATTATAACAGCATGCTTGTATTTCTTCTTCACCTCCTCACTGGCACTCTCACTTCTGATTTTGCTTCTAGTTTTTGTACCCCAACTTTCACTATACTGCTTCATGTTTTTACTGATCAGGTTTTGATTCACATTTTGGATCACATGTATGTATGTGTCTGTAGGAAAGAGGGCTTGCCTTGAGACCGAGTTTTCACTTTCTTACTGGGGGGGAAAAAAAAAGAGGTTGATGGTAATATAAGTGTTTGGGATGTTTTTATTTATGTATTCTGAAAAGTATTCTTAAAAATTGAGAAGTGTATGTGTCTGTAGTGATGTCTGTAATTTTAACGAGGTGAGGTGGTATGATGACCTGTATAAGGTTTGTAGGCTACTTGGTGAAATCTTTTAATTGTCTACTTAGGGTTGCACAGAGCATTGATTTCTCATTGTATCTGGAGTTCCAGGTTAAAATCTGAATTTGTGTGCTGTATAATTCCAGCATATTTTCTTAAGTCTTCATTTTGACTCAGACTGTGAGAAGTTTACACACTGTGTGTAATGAATATTCTAAATTTGTCAATGACAGTGGTGGTCTTGTTTGAGAGGTGATTACTCCCTTGCTGCATCCCCAAATGTGTGGTGGCTGCCGATTGCTGTACTTGCCTGTTTAGTCTACAGATACATATTTCCCTGGTTTAGCCACTTGTTTCCCTTACCTTTGGATTTTGTGAGCATCTTTTAAACAAGCATAGTTTCTTTGTTAGATGTTTGCACCATGGTGAGCACAAGAGCCGTGGGTCTTTGGTGGTGCCTGGCAACCACAGTCTGTGGTGCTGAGCATGGTGCTCTGTAATTGAAGCATACACATTTGGACACAACTGACAGAGCTCATTAAAAGCACACTACTAAATCAAGCTTACTGAGTGTACCTTTAAATCTTACCCCAGACTCTATCTTAACCTGTGAGAGGGTTTTTTCTGTTTGCCATTCATAACTATAGGGGACTGTGGCCTTCAGATAGCAGTGGTAGTAACAGCTACAGTATGGAAACAGAGATGGAGGTACTAAAAGCAAAGAGGGACAATGCAAAAACCAGCCTGTAATCCTCTGGGATAATGGCCTTAAGCCACATATCCCTGTGATTTATGCACTTGCTTTATTTGTTATCTTGTACAGAAAGCTTTGTCACTGAAGAGATTTGATAATAGCCTGTTCACAATGATTGTAGTCTCTTGAATTCATGTAATAAACCAAATAATTTTCGACCACTTATGGGTTTAGTCATCCTTGCTGTATGCATTTCACCTCTGATTTCACTTTCAATAGCTTAGATCAAGCTAGATAAGGACTTTCTGCTCACTTAGCTCTGTTCCATGGTGGAACTACATAGAAATGTCTTCCATTTTGTGCTTTGATATATTGGAACTTTAGTAAGATACACATGTACTGTACTTGCAAGTATGTGTTATGTGTAGTTGGCATATGTGAATATAGGTTGGTAAAACTTGCAACTTGATGTATTTTGACAAATATTGCAACCACTAAAGGCCTATATTAAGATAAGCAATCAAAAGCAGAAGAAAAAAAATGAAAAATTTCTTTACTTTCCAACTTTACTGCAGCTGCAGTTTTACAGTACTAAATGATGCATTAGTAGAATCTATAGGGGATGGAAGTGAGTTTCAGATCTTTGACACCCAGCTTATTCCAAGAGATGCACACTCAAGTAGCTGAGGAAAATGTACGTGGAAGAAAGGTTACATGCTGGAGCAGGGAATCCCGAGATTGTAGTGCTGTTTTTGAGGTGGGAAATCTGTCTGAGAAGAATTTTTCTAGGAAGGAATTTATTCTGGAAAGAAGTACAAATGACGCTTTTACCTTGCTTTTTCTCTGACTGTGCATCTTCTCACTACATTAAAACATTGCCTTTGTTTTTAATCCATAACCTTGTGATGAAAAAGGTTGTTCTAGTGTTAGTCTTTTATGTCCTCTAAACTGAGTTGGCTTCCCTGCTGTGACTTCAATAATGCATCATTTCCTAAGTTCAGAGGATTTGATGTGTTTAGGGTGAATTTGTGACTTGCTGTTAGATGGTTAAAAGGAAAATAGCTGTAATGGGTAGGATGCAAAGCTGCTTCCCCAGCTTCTCTCCCATCCCACCCACTACCATGCAGAAGCATCTGTCTCTCATCTTCTCTTTGCCTTGTGCTGTGTGCAAGTGCATTTAGACAAAGATTTTATGAGCAGAAATCTTTGAAAAACCTCTGAGACAAGCTAGTAGTGGTGAGAAAGGCAAGTACTTCTGCCTTACTAGATAGCTACTTGTGCAATAGAGGGTGATGCTATGGCAAATAAAAATATTTCTGTAGTAAATGTTACTACAGCAAATGAACCTGTCTTCTCTAGCTCTATTGAAATACAGCATCTCTGTGCTTGTAACTGTTACAACTTAAAGAACAATGCAGGAAATTTTGGCTGCTATCCCTCATATAGGTTAGAAGACGCTTTTCTTTCTATGTTGTTTCATGAATGTGTTGCGTCTTTTGAACTATCTGAATGCCATGTAAAGGAGGATGTTTTCCATGTAAAGGAGTTGAAGATTTTAACTGTGTTGTGCTTTCTTTTTAAAATGGCATACTTTTTATATTTGCAGATGGAAATGATGACTGAAATATTTTCCGTATCCTGAAGAAAGATTGATGGTGGGCAGACATTCATAGTAATCTTAGGAGTTGTTTTTTATATGTGCAGGATACATGTATTGCTTTATTGTTTGGAACATGTGTGTCTGGGTGCTTTCAGCTTGGGAGCATAAAGGTGTGTAAACCCCTACTTTTACTTTTTTTATGTGAACTTGCTGCAGTGATTTTAATTGTTACTTGCTGATATGAGGAGTTTTTTAGATAATACACCTGGAAAGAATGAAATAGTATGTTCTCAAAACACCCCCAAATCTTTTGCAAGTAATGCTGCAGAGAATGGCAGCAGTGTCAAACCAAATACTTTTTCTTGTTCCTCACTGTGTGTCTCTTTGCACTGATATGCCAGAAGTTCATTACTACTCTATTTGCATTTGGAATCAGCTCTTTACTTGCATGTACTGTTGCACCTTGAGTTGGAAAGAGGTATTATGTAAATTCAATCACACTTAAAAGCAATCCAGCAAAAGAAAATCAGAGCAATAAAACTCATCCTTTTTTAGCTACCTGAGATATTTATTTTTTGTGAGTACTTTGTCAGCTCCTTGTGGAGGTACTTTCTGCATGGGAATGCCCTATTCAGTGTGTTCCAATCACTCACAATGGGCAGTAGGGCTTCTAGCCACAAAACTCCAGTGGTATCAAAAGTAGTCCAAGTAGACTCAAAGCCCAAATATTTATGTATCTGTCTAGGAAGTGTCACTTTCAGATTTAAAGGACTTGATTTTAAACTCCCTGGAAATTTGAATAAAATGCCTCTGTAAATTTGAATACTCCCTTTAAATTTGAATAAAATACCTCTGCCTTGCTTCACTGACAGGCTTATGAGATTCTTTAGGGTACAGATGATTTCTGTAAGAGGAAACCTTTTCATCCTACCTGGGGAGAACATTTTGTGGACTTCTCCAAAGTGCTGTAGTAGTAGTTTGGCTTAACTGACTTCATGCTTCTATGTTAAATAAAAGAAGAAAGTTGTATAAAGGTTTGGCCATAAACATGTGATTTGACTCTGATTGTTTGAGGAGAAGAGATAGGTAGGCTTCCTAATTTATTTAGGATTTTTATTCTTTGCATATGCACTTACTGTTGTGTTGCTGTAAGATGCATTTTTGCTTTTATTAATGTATTTTGATACAGGGTTTGTATTCAATTTTATTTCAATTTGATCCAGTTCTGGTTTTCTGCTCCTATAGTTGTAATATTGACACTGACTGTTGTCCAGGATCTATTTCCCTGTATATTGTCCAATTTGAAAGCAACAACATGACAATAAATTGTGTAGTGTTTTGTTTTCCCCCTAGGGGTAGTTTCAGAGATTAGCAGGACTATGAAATAGTAGGGGAAAGCATCTGGAAGGTAAGACTTTCCAGATGGACATCCTGTTGAGATATAATAGGGGACATGCTTGGTATTTTTGTTTTGTTTCATTGTTTAGGAGTGTAGGGTGCTCTGCATTTCTTAGTCCTTTCATTTCTAATGTTTTTCTTTTTTCTGGTTTTTTTTGGGGGGTGTGTTTTCCATAATGAGATGTTTGCTAATGCCAGAAAAATCAATCTGATTATCTGGCCTGATGATTCAGGCTGTAGAATTCCAACAGCTATTCCCCATTACAGGAATTTGGAGTCCATAAATAAAGGTTAAGCTAAATCTAATGCTGACTTTTTCATCTTTTAAGATTTTGAGTCAAAGAAGGTCTCACATTTTATGGTTTGATCACTGATGGTTTTGTCTTGTGTTATCAGTTGTGTTTCCTGTTTTTTTCCCCAGGTATTTCTGTAGGAAGCCAATTGAGCAGTATTGGCTAGAAGCACAGACGATTCAGAAAACAATGCACAAATGCCAAACTGACCTAGAGAAACTACTAAAAGGGTATTAATCTGATAAAAAACTGTGGAAGCTCAAAAGATTGGAGGGACAGCTGTACCTGTTCTGAGGTTAGTGGTAGCAAATACTGAATGGCACAAATGATCATGATTTTTCAAAGAAGCTTAAGAATATGGCAGCACATTTTATTAGTAGCTCTTGGAATAAAATAGGTCAGTTGGAATGAGAAAAGACTTCACATTTCTCAACAAAACAAAAGATAACTATCCAGCAGATACTGGGAGAATGGGAGCCAGCTAAAGTTTCAAATTAACTTCTCTAGCAAGATTAAATGCTGTACGGTACATGAAATTCCTCTTTCCCACCACCCTTCTAAAATTCCGTTTTGCTTTCTGGCTGGCCCAAGACTTAGTATTACCAGTAAAGAACATTATCATCCCACATGATGACTTAAAATTGAAGAAAAAGCACAGTTAATGTTTCAGTAAGAGTTCTTAAAATCCATTTATTGAGATTTAAATGAACCTGTCCTGTATCTAGAAAGAAGCAAATTCCTTTTCCCTGTAAGGCTTACCCTTTATTCTCTAATCCAAGCATTAGCCTGATATTTTTCTGAAAAAAATAAAAATCAATAACTGAACTTGGACATTCTGCTCCCTTTATAACCACATAGTCTACTGTTATTCTCCTGCATTAGAGCATTAAGTTGCAACACAGGTCCTTTTCTGGTTACAATAGAAAATCCTTTATAATTTGAGTTTTCCTCAAAAAAAAACTCCCTTTATAATGTGAGTTTTCTCAGATGCTTTGTGATAATTGGTCACTTTGTATGGATTTTTAGTATGGTTGCCTGAGTAATCTTTATAAGAGCGTGAGAGAAATGAGAGGAGGAGAAGAAAAAGGAAGGCTACAAGACTGGCTAAATCCCAAAGCAACTCAGACTTAAATGTTCTGTTATTGGGGTAGGCATCTGACAAGAGCCACCCCCAGCTGATATCTGGGGAGAGTGTGATCAGCTTTCAGCCATCCCTGAAATTCACTGTGGAAGCAGAGGTCACAGTCAGTATCAGGTTCAAAAGATCAGTACTATTCTCTGTTACCCTCAAGAGGTTTATTAGTAGGTAAAACTTCACTAAGGCACATTTGTGTGCAATTCCCTTCAGCTCCACATCAACTACTTCTTAGCACTGTTTAAAAAATTCAGAGTGGATTAAAAACCACACAAGTTCCTCCCTGAGCTTTTCATTCAAAGGTCTGTTACGGAAATCTTTTCTCTTTCTGTCCTGGGAGCACACACGTGACTTTGGGTTGTATTTGTGAGATGTTTTTCCTAGGAATGACAGTGGATCTCTAATGGAGAATTTTTTTCTTCAAAATTGATCTCCTTTTGCCCTAAACAATTGCACTGCTCATGTTCTAAAAATATGTGTTTAGTTTCATCTGCATGTGAAAAATACTGAGCTGATTTATGCTTCATGTTTAAAACTTCAGAGGGCTGATGAAGAAATAAGTTTGTTTCATAGATGGAGGTAACTCCTGGACCAAGCCAGAATTACTCTTTGACATATATTTTCTACTCATATGTTGTGTGCTAGAGCCATTCCATTTATTACCTCTGTTGCAAGAGGTGGTTCACTAACTTACAGAACAAGGATTGCTTTGCATCTTTCCATTAAATTTGCAAACACAAACAGGGAGCAGGGTGGATTAGTTGCTTCTCCTTAAAAGCTTCACATTTCACATTAAAAGAAGCTGAGAACCTCAGTGGCTACAAATACTGAATTTTTTCTTTTTTTTTTTTTTTGTCCTTCTTTTCACCTCATAGAGGCTTAAAAATATTTACTTAGTCTAGACTTGGGAATTCAAGAACAGACTGCTGCATTAGCATGTTTGGCCATGTTTTGCTTTCTTTTGCCAAGAATTGTTTTTGTATCTATTAATTGGAGCTGTCGCTGTCCATGCCAAAGTAACAGCAATTTTTACATGCAGAACCAGCATAACAATTGGTAATTAGCCACAAGTTCAGCATCCCACTCCCTGGTGTATTGGTAAAGGTTCACAACTAAAGTACTGCCTTCATCTCATGGATTCTGTTTGTTTCTAGTTGGTATTAGAAGCCAGGGATAGTTCATGACAGTAGTTCCCTTGTAAGTGAGTGTTAGAACCAAGTTAATAAGCACCATAGCTTAAAGAAGGGTGGTCTGTTGGGGTGGCACTGGCCTGGACACTGAGTGTGTAAATATTCCTTATGTTCCTACATGGGAACTTGTAAAGGATTCCGCTAAAACACAAAAGAAAGGGTATGTTTAGTTAATGGTGCATTTTTCAGCTACTGATAATAAAAGTTTCATAAAGTTGATAGCTGTGCTGTCAAATTTCAGGCTGTAAATTTTATGGTCCTGCTTGAATGACTGAGGTGTTGTCCTCTTGGATAAACTGTCCTTACTAATTTACACAAAATACCAGGACTACTGCAGGGGAAAAAGCAAGAGTTTGCAGATTTATTTTCATGCCCAGTGGAGGACAAAATGAAGTGATATTGTCTTCCTACTCCTCAGATTATGTTATTTTGAAATCATGGCCAGACTGCCTTTATGATGATTTCAGGCTCTTTAAAACCTGAGATCCCTGTATCAAGTCTGGTCTCATTGCACATCAGGAAAGTGGTAGATAACAGCACCATTAGACATACTTGACCACTGCTGGCATACAAGTAGAGATTTGTAAAAGAAATATTAACATTTTATGAGTTTGATATGAGTGGTAATGTGTGTGTGCAGAAGCACTATCTGGGCCAAGCAAAGAAGTTAAAAGCATGGAAGACAATCAATTTCTTTGTGTACTGTTGTCTTGAGATTGGCTTTGGAAGCTCTTGCTGATTTCATCAGAAAATAGAATTCTTTTCCTTTTACAGACATTTAAGTTTTCTTTGTTTTCTTGATCTTTGTAATCAATCCAGCTGTTTGTGAACTCTTGACAATACATAGTATGCAAGCCAAAAGTCTGGCGGACAGGGCCTTGCTTTGTTGAACATCTTCCTTTTGTACATTTTGTTTGTGTCACTCAAGATGTTTAACTAATCTTTGGACTCTTTGTACTTTCAGTCACTGTCATATGTGGCCATTCTTGAGGGTGACGCATCTGTGTAAAGTCCTCAAGAGCCTTTCTAGAATTTTGTGCCTTTATCCTACGTTGGTTGGGGAAAATATTTTTGTTTGGACTTTTTTGGCTCTTGAGTATGTTACTGTACACTTGCAATCCCTTTTTTCGTCATCTTGTCAGGTGTTCTAAAGGTTGTGGCTCCTAATGGTGTGGAATAAAGGCAAAATCAGTGCTGTCTCCTTCAGATGGCTAGTGCACAGCAGATACCCATGAATGTATATTTTATTCCTGACTGGGACCTGCCAGGTCCTCTGCTGGGACCTGGAGGCAGAAGCCGAGGTGGGTTTGGGGGACTCTATGAGACACTCCCTTGCAATTGGGCTGTGAACTGACAGTAGGCAGGAAAACTGCTGTGTTCTGCCAAGCTGGAATAGAGATTTGGAAGAAATTGTTTCCATTTTCTGACCAAATTACAATTAATTATGGTAATTTTGCCTGGAAGTGACTGATGCTGGGATCAATGTGAGGTGGCCATGTTCTCATCTGAGAGAAAAAGCTGTTTCCCTGTAGGCTGGAGGTTGTAGAAAAGGTTTCTGATGGCACATGTGGTTGACTTGTATTTCTTAGAAATTTCTACCTTTCCAGAACATGGTGCCCTTTGCTGTAGAAAGTAAGGTTTTTTTGCTATATGTCTTTATACTTTGCAGTAGTTTCAGCATGTTCTTTCTCAAAATTTTTGTAGTTTATTCCTTTGGAAATGCAGACACAGATGATGGAGAATAAACCTATAGCAATTATTCTTTCTTTTAGGCATTGCAAGAAAAGGCCCTGGTTGGGCCATGGGGCTAAAAGCAGCTCCAGGATCTCTACTCCCTCACATTTCATGTTATGTTACTTACCCACCTGCACGTTGAAAGAGAAAGTGTGTGCTTCTCAGCTTGTTTCTCTCCAGATTTCCTCACAGGGGACACTACTTCCAAAATAATCTGGGTCAATGTTATGGACACCTGAGATCCCAAGTTTATGGCTGACAGTGTGTGCCAGAAATATGCTCTACTGCTAAAAACTGCTGTTGAAAAAAACAAACCAGTGTCAAACTATGTGAGAGGAAAAATTAGTTAAATGAAAGAGGGTAATCGGTGTTGAAATTTCTTGGATGTTATTCTCTCTTTTTTCAGGGGTTTTAAAAATTAATATGTACTGAAATTTATACAAAATGGAGAGAAAAATGACATTACCCCTGGAGTGTTTATGCTGAGTTTAGAATGCTTAAGTTCTCTTCTTTTTTTTTAATATTTTGGTGCCACTAAAGGAAGAATAATGGAACAATAAACATTGGTATTTGGGAATCCAGTAGCAATAGAGGTACTGCATCTTAACTGTTGAACTGTCAAGTTGCTCAAAAATGTGTCACATTAAAAAACGTGAAAGACTAAAAAATCAAAACCAAAGCACTTTAAGACATGTCAGAATTAAAGTTGCCTGTGTGCCTGCTGGTTAAACATGTTGTGCAGGCATTTCCTGGAGGAGATTGTGAGCAGATATTTTACCTTACAATATGATTTGACTTGACATCTTGGAACTTTAATGAGCATATTGTTCTAAAGAACATTTTCACCCAATCAATTTCTGTGGTACTTCACAGTCAGAAATTAAATTTTCTATTTTACAGGCTGAAATATTTTGTTTGGGGCATTTGGGTGGCTGTTACTCTAATCCATGTTTTTTCCTATAGCACCTGAAAGGTTGACATGTTGATTGAGCTCACTGGTTGGACTGCACATTGTGCGAGAAGTGGTCATACAAATACTTGTTGCTCAGTGGTTCAGGACAGAAAATGTATAAATCTCAATCAGCAGTGATGAAATTATACAAGTGATCTCCTTATGCCAGATTTAAAATTGCAAAGCATGGTGTAAGAATGTGAACAAACTCAGAGGGTGGGGAGACAGGTAGCATTGAAAACCCCTGGGATTTTGGCAGATCTAGAAATCAATGGAAACAGGAC